TTGTTTGAGTTACGTGAAGCAGGTCCTGTTTTTTTTGCTTCAAAAGCACTTTGGCAGGTATCGATTCTGTTTTATTATTTTTTTCTACACATTGTAAAACTATTTTTAATGGCACATTATTATTTTTATTTTTGTTCTTAAACATTACGTTTAGCAATCATTGTTGATTTTTTAAACAGTCGCGATTAAAAAAATATTTACACTACACACACAAACGAAACTGACGTAGTTACGGATTAATGTTAATGAACATACATCCTCACCTGTCGACAGTCGAATATAAATATTATAAGTATTATTTAGATAAACTGAAAATAGTAAAGGACCTAACACTGTTCCTTGGGGTATTCCAACTATTATACTAACAAAGAAACAAAAAAGCTTAATTATAATTTAATAAATGATAAAACTAAATCCTAATAAATTAGTTACAAATTTGTTACAAAAAATATTTCGCTTTTTGCTGTATTGAATACAAAATTATGTTTTATTATCATGTCACCATAAAAATTGTATTTTTGGGCAGTATAAACGAAATATTTATAGATTATTATTTTTTTAATCGGACAAAAGCCGAACAAAATTGAGACTAGTGGTTTAAAATCGGGACTGTTCTGTCTAAATCAGGACGAATAGTCACTTTAGTATAGTTGGCAACGCTTCTGACACTAACAAACCCGTTATTTACATTTATTTATACATGGGACACGAGTCGCTTTGCTCTAGACGGATCAGATCATTCAACGAGAAAGTAAAAGTTACCTGTAAACCGTCGCTAAATTACATGGTTGTTAAGCATAGATACTTATCAGTAACAGTAACGTTGTACCAATATGGTTCGGAATGAATCACTAACAAGGTAAACAGTCTTAGAATTATGCTAATTACCGTGAAGTAAAGCATATCTGTAAATATTTAAACTTTTAGGTGCAGGTTTATGGGATTTTTTTGTTGTTGTTTTGAAGAACAAAAAATGATAAATTGAAAATATTATTTCTAATATTTACAATGGCGTGTATTTAATACAGAATTTAACAGTTTTTAATTTGAATAATTTGGTGGTAGTGTTGATGAAGTGTATGATATAATTGTTTGATAGTGATGCAATAAACAAAATTGCAGTTTTATGCATCAAATTGTCTAAAAATTGAATAGTGTATAAAGGTATTTATGAAAAAATACTAAGTATAGTCCTTAAACTTACTTGTAAAAACTTAAATCAGATCTTTTCTTCCGTTTCTTCATTGTATATCTTTTATCATTAGGTTTAGTACACTAGGACAGAATTAACGTTGAAATATATAAATTTTGAAAAAGTTTTGACAACTCCTTGATAACTTTATTATTGCTTTTAAGGAAGGGGGAAGAGGTGTCATCTCCATATTTTTCAACCTCATTTGATGAAACTTTGGATTAGTGGGACAAGATCGAACTTTCTTTAAACTGATCGTGTAGGACCTATTTAAAAATGTATGTAGGTATTTTGCGTTTTTGTTAGAAATTCAATTTTTAAGAACATGCATGCAATCCTTAAAATAATGATAAATATCGTCATGTTAGGCGTGTTTTTTAATAAAAATGTTACGATTTACGTGTTCTTTAATAACTAGGGACCAGCTATACTATGCTATGTTTAAAAAATATATATTTCCTTGCAATATAAAAGGTTGCAAATTGGAATAGCTATTCCAAACACTTTTATTAGTTCTGTCATCGGTTTGCAGCACTTTTGCAATTTTTTTATCTATGATATAAACAAAAACGCTTTTTTACAAAAAAAAATTATGTTTTGGACTTTCAAAAAAGTTACAAATCTCATATAATGTTGAAAATAATAAATATACAGGGTGTTTCAAAAAGATTGGTCATAAATTGTACCACGTATTCTTGGGTCAAAAATAGGTCGATTAAACCATAATTACCTATATACAAAAGTGCACCTAAAAATAGTTACAGGGTGTATAAGATAAACATTTAAATAAATTTTTTTAACGTTGCATTTAAATCGTTTGATATTTTTTCATGAAATTTTATTTGACCCAAGAATATGTGAAATAATTTATGACCAATCTTTTTGAAACACCATGTATAATGCTTCAAGTTTGCAGCATTTTTACAATTTTTTTTGTTAAAACTGTAAACAAAATTTACTACATATATTATCTACAATAAGAATCATGGTTTCGTAATAAATTTATTAAAGGATAAAACTTTCTAAGAATTTGTTGACACCTATTCAAGTACACAAAAATATGTTTTCAATAACCGATTAATATTAGGTAATATAAACAAATAATAATATTATTGAATTAAATAAAAAAGAAGAAACAAATATTTACGAAAAATGTATCAAAAATATTTTATTATTTACTGTAGTAAAAGCCATTAATAACGTTGAAGTTATTTGTGATGAAATCCTCTTTCAATCTACACATTAAAGATTACAGATCTTTTAAGATAATGTCGATCAACTTATGAAAACTCCGTTTTGTTTTTTAAAAATAACTTACTTATTTCACCCTAATTTTGATAGGAAAAAAAAACAACGTCATTATGTACATGGTGGGCAAATTTCGAATCAACTATACCAGTAGTTTTTTAATACCAATTGGCTTTTAAATAACAAATTAAAAAGAAAAAATAAAGGGAATCCCAGAGAACTACAGACATTAATTAATTTATTGTCTGGTCTAATACCGCCTCTTAATTACTGATTAAAAACACAAATTACTCCATGCTCCAACAGGAGTGAAAGGATAAAGAAATATAAATATCAAGTATCTAAATCAGGTGTATGTACTTAGTATAAATTAGTACTAAGAACTTATTGTTACACCTGTAGGTACCTATATTTATTTGTCTAATGTTTTAACTGTGTGGGTGCTATGAATACTTTCATAATACAATTATTTTAATTTATTTAATGTCTCCTTTTTTATGTTTGCCAAGGAAGGAAAACCATTGACCTTTATAGTAATTGACAATTTTAAATATTATTTAGAAGTAATTTTACCTTTCAAACTTGTAAGATTTTATTATCATTATCGAGTGATTAATAAGATATTTTTTTTAAACTATAAAGAATATTTTTATTTTGTAATTAACAGATTGATCTTCTTACCTGTAAGGATGATCGATCCGAATTATTCGAACTGTGTAGGATATCTACACTGATAAAACTGAAAGTTTGTTATTTTTTTGTCAAATTTTTATTCAGCAATTCAAGTACCTGTTTGTCTACCTTTTGTATGAATTCCATTTTATGGAGATACTTTTTTCGGAAGAGATATAAGTCAATCTTAATTATTAGTGTTAATTACCATTTTTATAAGAAATAAAAATCTGATGTGTCCAACACATGACTTTCCTATCTAGTTATTACAGGCTCTTTCCGGTTATTTTGTACAACCTATTGCAGCATCTCTATAAATGTTTAAAGGATAAACTAAATATATACATTGTCCACATACATCTACCGCGAAACATTTTTCTATAGATATTCATTGAAAATGAAAATACTGAAAAATTTAAATTTAGCACTTTTCCTACAATTTTTCCATTACGGTCCATTTTAAAAAATCATGTATGAACAAATATTATAGAGATCGATATCGCAAACAACTTTTATTTCAACAATTTTCATAAAAATCAGAATTTTGCACATTTTGTCAAATTTTTCGAATACGGACCATTTCAGGAAATTTTTACATAAGACAAAAATTATAGATAATAATATTAGAAGTAACTTTTATTTGAACAATTTTTTTCCTCAAACATAAATAACAGATATATTTCATAAAATATAAAAACGGCCTCCCATAAAGTACCCCCCCAGATGTTCCGACTTTGTCCAAAATCTAATCATTTCACGTCAGGCCGAAATAAAACTTAAGTTTAAAATTTAATGTTTTTTTCTTTATCCGTTTTTGAGTTTTCTTCAAATTTCGAAATTTACACATTTTCTTAAATATCTCGAATACGGTCCATTTTAGAGAAATTATGTATAAGATAAAAATTATAGAGAATTATATTACAAACAACTTTTGTTTGAACAATTTTTATAAAAAAAAATATTTTTTTACATTTTGTCAAATTTCGCGAATACGGACCATTTTAGGAAAATTTTGTATATAACAAAAATTATAGATAATAAAATAAGAAGTAACTTTCATTTGAAAAATGTTCTTACCCAAACGTAAATAACAGATATATTCCATAAAATATAAAAATGACCACCTATAAAGTACCCCCCCAGATGTTCCGACTCTGCCCAAAATCTAATCAGCTCATAAGACGCTGGAACAAAGCTTAAGTTTAAAATTTGGTGTTTTTCCGTGTATCGGTTCATGAGTTATGCGTTATACAGACACACACACACACAGACACACACACACACAGACACACACACACACAGACACACACACACACACACACAGACATCATCGCGAAAATAGTCAAAACGGATTCAGGGGACCTCAAAACGTAAAAATCCGTCGAAAACTCGAGGTCGAAAAAAATCATGATTCCTATACTTTCCTTATATCTGTATACAGATAGGAAAGTAAAAAAGTAGAACAACTTGACAACATACCTTCTTTATCTCTTTTCGATTCACTTTCAATTCTTGTCCACTTACACCTTTTAACACTTTTTTATAACATTTTTGGAATCCTCAAACACTAAAAATTTCGTTAATATAGAAATTGTTTTATCCTGGTAGTTTTTTGTACTGATCAGAATGAGTCATGCATACTACAAGGTAAAATAATCATGTAGGACCAAAGGGAAGAATAATAGATATTTTCTTGTCAAAAAGTCCCAGTCAAATTAATTAAAACCTTTATTTATTTATAATTTTTGTTGTTGTATTGATGCACTGGTTAAATTGAAATATATGGCACAGAATTTCACGAATATCTTCACAAATGTAGAGTAGGAATAAAATAAGAAAAACAAAAAAATAACTATACCTAATAACATATATTTTCGCAATAAAACAAGTCAACATATTATAACAAATTATCTACCTATATATACGAATAACATACACAACATAACAAAATACTTAACAAATCAACAGCAGTTCTTTAATGGTGTTTCTTGTAAGATACCTTAGCAATGAAACCGAGTTTCTTATCAGAAACGTAGTCAACGACCCTGATGGTCTTGTGGTCGGGCTCCAAAAGACTGTATGATCCCTTTACTTTGTAACCATCTCTGGTTTCATGTTTGCTTTTGTAATCCTTGTGCTTGTGGTCAGCTACGTGGTAGTCGTAGTGATATTCTGGTTTGGCCTGGAAAAAAAGTAGAATTTGATAAATTACCAAAAAGAAAATGTCCATATTAAAATCCATATTAAATGCGAAAAGTTTGATATAAAATACAAAAGAATGTATTGGTAGGAAAAAATTCCAAATTATCCATGTAAAACGAACTGATTTTTGGATCTGTACCAGTAAAAGTAACATCCAAGTTAGTCAACGTTTCCAGAATAAAGTATTAAGGAACATCGTCAATGCACTCTGGTACTGATCTTCATAGGGACCTTAAAGTGTAGACTGATGAAAATGCAACATAAATATTTGCCAGTAGTCAGCAGCAACGACTGCTCCAACATGGGAACATTGGAAAACTCAAGAAAACCAAGTCTTTTGAGTTAGTTCAGTGATGTTAGATAAAACTATAGTACAGCTTATTGTTATACGTTAACAGTATCGTAACTAAATAATTACACTTTAAGGTACACTAGTGAACAGAATCTTAGTTTGTGAAGTTTTTGATCCGTAGATAAGAGTTAGGTTAGAATAAAATTGTTAATTGATCATAATGATTAAATTGTAATAATGGTAAATGCTTCTTTACTTGGAGCATTTATAAAAAGAGAATCTCTAAATTATTAAAGCAATTTTCTAGAAGCAAATTTTCTATCAGATCTATCTATCATACATATTCAATAAATCTCTTTATATATACAGGGTAATCAATATTTTGTTGTATTTTTTACTATAAAAACATTAATTTTAGTTTCTTGATCATTTTTCTTAGATATATTTATAAACTTTAGTACATATGAATCTTTTGCCTTTGCTATTATACCTTAGCTCTCTTTATTATTTAAATTTTGATAAGATATCTATTACATTAATATTCTAAGCTAATTTCCTTCTTAAATATTGAACAATCGATAATATTTTAGTACCTACATTTATAATACTGCAGGCAGTAGGTTAGGACGCAGTAATCTTAAGACTGTACTATTTTAATTGATTAATATAATTATTACCTATTAGTAAAAATTAACGCACCAATGCGGGTGAGAGAAAGTATTGATTTTAAAAAAAAAATCATGGTATTATCGAATAAGTAAATGATCACATTTATTTAATTGTTTACGCGGAATCGGTATGGTGAAATCACGATAATTGGTGCAATTAAAAATTAATACACCAGTAACAACTGATTTGTGTTTTGGTTAAAATTCCAGAGCAGAATACAAAAAAAAAGAAAACCAATACATTTGAATTAATTTAAATAGATTCATTGGAATGGAACTACAAAACACGTTCTGTACTAATACCACGAAATGCTTTTCTGATATTATTAGAGTTCCTAAAATGATCAAATAAATATAATAAACATTTTAGAATTGCACAATCATTATCATCAGTAGTGTTCAGACTCAACCACCGTTACCTTCAAATGAATTTCTTTTTCGTGGTGTACATCTACAGGCGTCTTGAAATCAGAACCAGTAAAACCAATCGAATCATGATGCGATTCCTCATGATGCGATTCTTCATGGTGTCCACCACCGCCTCCTCCTCCTCCACCAAGTTCGATATGTCCATAACCACCTTCGTCGCCGCCTTCGTCTTCGTGTTCGTCACTTCCACCGCTTAAACCGATGATGTGGTGATCTAGTGGTTGATGATGGCCTAAGAGTCCTCCAGCGGAACCGCCTCCGTATTGAGGCGCGGCTGAGGTCAAAACAACCAAAGAGAAAAGAGCCTGGAAATGATAGGAAAAATTAAAAATGTTTTTCATTTAGAAAATATTCATTTACAAGTTCTCTTAACGTAACAAAACTACAAATTCTAGAGCTCAGACGTTTTCATTCATAACTTTTTTGTCTTTCAACATTTCCCAAACGAGCTTCCTATGATTAAAATTGAATAGGAATAGTGCAGGACTTCGTAACTAACATTTCCACTGAAAATTATGTTTTATGATAATCTTGTTTGAAACATTTAGCTCCATCTACTGTAGAGGAGAAGTATTACAATTTTTGAACAAAATATGGGTAAATATTAGTCCTATTATAGAGTAAAATGGATCTCCTGCCTTGTGGTCCGTGATATTCAATGAAATAAATGTACTGAAGGTCATCAATTAAAAATAAATCGTTTTGAAGATATTTGAATTAAACTGATGTTATGGCGCCATCTTTAAACATATATAGCAAGCATTTTTGGATAAATAGACCTAAGATAAGCTTTAAAATTTACAATTTTCTTTTTGTGTCATTACTTAAAAGGAAATCGTTTTGAAGATATTTGAATTAAATTGATATTATGGCGCCATCTTTAAACAAATATGACAAGGCATTTTTGGATAGATAAACCTAAAATAAGCTCTAGAATTTACAATTTTCTTTTGTAAACAGAATTTGTAGAGATAAGTTTGACGTTATATACAAAATTAGCAATTGAAAGGGTTTTTCTGTCACTGCTTTTTTGGTATTTAACAAATATAGAGCCATTTTGTTTTCAAATTTGCTATATTTTTAATAATTAAAGATGAACTATGTATTTACAAGAATAACAAAATTTATTGAGAATCTTGAAATCTTTGAAGTCTCTCCCTTGAATTAAAACTTGATGTCTTAATAAATCGATTTTCAAAATACTTTATATTATAGTAAATTTTCGTCTCTTTTCAATGGTACTTGTCTCAATTTTCTATCTCTCTCCGTTTTTGTATACAGGGCGTTTTACTATATTTTAGCTAGTTTTTGACGTCTCTCCCTTGAATTAAAACTTGATGTCTTAATAAATCGATTTTCAAAATACTTTATATTATAGTAAATTTTCGTCTCTTTTCAATGGTGCTTGTCTCAATTTTCTATCTTTATCCGTTTTTGTATACAGGGCATTTTGAATTAAATTTTGATGTCTTTCTAGATCTATTTTCAAAACTCTTTATATTATAGTAAATTTTTAAACCAATTGATATATAGAATTCGAAATTTGATCAATTATTTACAAAAAGTGTAGAAATCTAATTTTGAAAAGTAATAATTTGTAAAAATAAGCCTTACTGGCATATAGATGGTTGCAACATTACGTACAACAAAAAATATTTATAAAAGTTTATGATTTACCCTAAATAGTTGAAGAGGATCCCAATGTTTGCAAAGAAAGTATTTTTTTGAAGAAAATCCTTAAACTGTCCATGTAAAAGGGCTCTAGCAATCATTTATTATCAGTAAATGTTTGGTCTAATATAATAAAAAATTGATGAAGGTAAAATGAAACTTATTTCTGACGTTAAAAACCATCAGACTTGTTGACAAGCTTAGAGTCAGGTCACTGTGTCACTGGATAATGCAGAATGGGTCTATACAGGTCTAAATAATGTGGATAAATAAATGTTACGTTTTATGAAAATTAGCAAAAGAAGGGACACTTGAATGTAGTTATTTATTATACAAATAACACAATCCTCAAATAGATTTGTAACTAAATTAAGAACAGTTTACAAAACTGAAATGAAAGATCTAAAAAAAAGGGAAAAGAAGGAAGACGAAGATTGATAGTGATACGAAAATAAGATATAAATACATTAAATAGAAGCCAAAACATATAATGGAAATGAATTTACAGTATACAAAAGTATATTACTGTTTTCTTTTATTTTAAATAACTTATTAATGTATCTATATTATTTTTAATATTATTTCAATTTAGTTTCTCATGCTTATTTTGAAAAGTTATTAGTGTGCAATTTTTCTCAATAAATTTTCATTTAATTAATTGATAATGATAAATATACTTACTAGGAAAGTATTCATGATGGCAAATGTGTTTTTCGTTGGTCTTCTACCAGGCAACTGACAATGATACAGTGCCAACCCCCCCAATATATACTAACAAGTTTTGTGAAAGGGCCTTATCTAGTTACAAAAATTAATAACATAAATACATTTAATACTAATATAGTATAAATTATTTAAATTTTAATAATGTTGACATGTATGATTTCTCCGCCTTATGTTCTCGCAATTGGACTAGTTTGGAGTAATAAGTAATAAACAATTACTTGCATACAGAAATTGTTTAATAAATATTCAGTTAATTAATTTTAAATTATTTATGTTGCATTTAGTTCAAAATAAATATGCATTCCTGTATAACATAATTTGAAAAGTTTGATTGATCTGCAAAATGTTATCTAATTTTATGGAGTTTTTTCGGACGACATGACTGCAATGGCCCAAAACAGAATGAAAATCAATGAAGGACATAAAAACAAAAATACTACAATAAATTGCAATGGATAAATTAATATAGTAATACAGGGAAAAAGCAAAATAACAAGAAAATCTCAAAATAATACGAGTGATCCATTTTCCTACTGATAACAAATACTTCTTTGGCTAATACCACAACAGGCACTGTATTATTTGTTCTCAATTAAATTTTTTTTTTTTTTTATATATAGTTAGGATTTAATAACGTCATAATAATTAAGTACTATGGTACTGTTATTGATTAATAGTTAAAATTTCTCACTTGATTGGTTTATTGCATATTAAATACAGTCCTCGATTAAAACAACAAAAATAAAATACGCTACTGTAGGAGGAAATGAAGAAAAACCATTTGTGTAACAATTTGCTGTTACATATACACAATTCACGATCTTTGTGATATTGCAAGAAAGCATGAAATTCAATTCTGCAATAACTTCTGAACAATAATGTCATTAATGTTGATATTAAATTTATTCTTTGATATTTTAACGGACAAAATGTTTCCAAAGAAATAATTGGCTGTCTTGCAACCGTTCCGTTCCCTATAATTAAAATTAATGGTAACAAATTACGCACGAATTAATACAATGAGTTTTGATAATTGAAAAAACCTTGAATATGTTTATTAACCTACAATATGAAATGGGTTTGACTTAGAATTTTTGTCTGTTTATGTGTTTAGCATTTGTCCATGCTTATGTTTGTTTGATTTAGTTGGTTTTTGTGATAAACAATTCTATTTAAAACTGCAAACAAAACACATACTTAGTTATTCTAGACCTTTTCCTTTCCATCTGAGCTACTGAGCTCTGAGCTACCCACTTCTGAAAATATCGTTCCAACCATACAATTTGTATAACCAAAAAGCATATCCTTTTTTTCTTAATCTAAAAAAATGTATAATATCAACGTTATATACCTACATACAGTTTGTTATTGTACTATATTTCGTTTCCTAGAAAAAATAATTTGATAAATTAAGAATACTATTCTAGTCTTACTTGTGGAATGTAATATATTCTGAATCCTCGTTGTTTAAACAGCCAAAAACAAAACACTTTTTTCCCATTTTCGAGAAAAAACGTAGACGAATTGACATAAATTACACTTATGTCGAAACACTACAGCAACTGTGCATGTGTGTGAATCTCACGTTTCAGCAGCGTCTCCTAGTGGTGACACTTGTTAACCCTTATTGTTCAAACTAGGAGAAAACTTTTTTACATGACAACCTGATCATAAATATAACTGTCATAAATGTCAAAAGTAACTCATAGTATGTGATAATTACTTAGAACATATACAGGGTGTTATTGAAATACACGTACATATTAAAATGGGGAATAGTATGTAATGACCAAAAACGATTGGCACCAATTTTAACTTCAAATTCTAAAATTTAAATATTGGGAAAGAGTCCCCTTTTCCGACCTACTAGTTTCCATATTTAAAAAAGTAAAATAAATCGAAATTGAACTTACCCATAGAAATTGCACTGTTGCCGTAGCAAAACCAATTAATTCAAAATAAAGTTTATTACAGTAATTGTTCAAAATGCCGTCCATTATTATTTACACACACTTGCAATCGTCTTTCCAAAGAACTTTGAACATTAGAAATTAGTCTTGGATTTTGTCGTAGTTCCTCGGCTACCGCATTAACTTTATTGGTTAATTGTTCAACACTATTAATAGGTTCATTATAAACCAGTTGTTTCATGTGACCCCACAAAAAGAAATCGCATGGATTTAAGTCCGGAGATCTCGGAGGCCACTTAGTAGGTCCATTTCTGCCTATCCACTTTTGAGGAAATCTAATGTTCAAAAACTGCCGTACGTTTAAATCAAAGTGAGGAGGAGCGCCATCTAGTAGGTACCACATCCGTTGCCTTAATTGTAACGGTATCTCTTCTAGGAGTACTGGCAAAATATCTTCTAAAAAGTGGAGATATCCTGGCCCATTTAATCTGTTCGGGAGAGCATAAGGCCCGATTAAATACTGATCTATTATGCCAGCCCAAACATTTATTGAAAATTTTCTTTGATGCCCAGTTTCCCTAATGGCGTGAGGATTTTCATCACTCCAAATATGCGTATTGTGCATATTGAACACGCCATCACGAGTGAATGAAGCCTCGTCAGTATACAATAATATTTTTAGAAAATCAGGAATATCAACACATTTTTGAATCATCCATTCACAAAATTCCACTCTCTTTTCTTCATCACCTGGATATAAGGCCTGGACTTTTTGGATGTGATAAGGATGTAAACCTTGTTCTTTAAGTGTCCGCCACACAACAAATGAGGACACTCCAATTTCAAGACCTAGTCTTCTACAACTTAATTGAGGCCGGTTTTCAACAGCTTCCAATATTTCTTCTTCGGCCGCCAATGTTCTTTGTGTTCTTGTTCTCCCTCGATCTGCATTGACACTCTCAAATTTTCCATGGTCTCTTAGATGCTGAACAGTTGAAATAAACGTACGACAGTCTGGAATTCTCCGATTTGGAAACCGTTCGCGATACAGGATTTGTGCTTGCCGAGAATTTTCTCCAGCTGCCCCATAAACCAGCACTATATCCGTTAGTTCAATATTCGTAAATAGTGGCATCGTAAAAAAATATTTAAAAGTAATCGTAACAACACTTTTTACCAACTTGGAAATGACGCGCTCGTGTTAGCCAGATTCGTAAATCAACTAAAATTTTAATAATCTATAGTTTCAAAAATGTATAGTTTAAAAACAATCATTTATCAAATATTCTAGTTTTTTGATAACGAGGGTAGTAAAAACCAGTCTTCGGAAATATAAATTAATTCGAAAATCTTGGCAACATGGTTATTTCTTATCATTTGACAAAAACTTGCATATTAATTACTGTTGATGTTTAAAATAGGTAAATAAACCTAATTTATATAGGTCATCCTCAACATATCAGTGAAGTACGTTTGTTTTAGAATTAATTTTCAAAAATTAATAACTCCCTTAATAAGGGGTATTTTTAAAAAATAATATTTTTCTACATTCAGTGGGGATCTGCGCAATACCCAGTTTTAATATGTACGTGTATTTCAATAACACCCTGTATATTCTAAGATAGCCACTGCGCATGTGTATGAATCTCTGTGGGCCTCACGCTTCAGCAGCACCACCTAGTAGTGACACTTGTTACTCCTTATTCATTAAACTAGAAGAAAACTTTTTTACATTACAACTTGATCTTAAACAGATCTATGAAGACTTCTCTCTAGTCTTCATAAACAGAACTACTATTATAAATGTCAAAAGTATTTCATAGTTTATGATAATTATTAAAGGTTATTATGTTACTTTGAATACTGTACTATCAATAGTATAGAATATTTGAAAAAAAAATACGTGTGATACTCGGGGACTGCCGCGGTAAAGCTATTGCATAGCATTTTTTATCAACTTATGCAATTATAATTATTTATTTTATTTATGCAGTATTTTTTTCCTTTGATATTAATTCAAGTTATACTTTTTGAGCGTGGTGACCGATAAGAAAACAATTTTTTTTTATTGAATAAATGAGAAGGTAATATTATTTAAAATATTTTTATTATTTTACAATACATATAGGTTATTCAGGAATTTGTATCATTAAAACTATACGTTTATTGTAACTGAAATAAGAAACATAAGTTTGAGACTTGATATCCTCTAAATATCTGGAAAATACCGCGTAAAAAGGTGGTCCCATATTTTGTTGTGGATTCTTGTGGATTATTATTCATTTTCAAATTAAATTTTTCCGAAATTGTGTCAGTTATGAGTCTGCCGAACTGAAACGACGTTAGACGATGGCACGGCTTTCAACGCCGCACTGCTGTGCCGGTCGGAGTGGGGTGTGTTAGGATTATTTTCGTTACGGAATTTCTTGATTCGATCGCCGCGTTCAAAGCCCGCTATACAAGTTATGCAATACCTTAAAAAATTAAAATATTGTTAAAATTTATTTTTGTTTGTTACAGAACGCTCTAGATAACTACACCTTCCTGCCGTTCAGCGTCTTCCTAGCCATTTTCTGGATATTTACATATAAGAAAGTACCAGAAACGAAAAATAAAACGTTTGAAGAAATAGCCGCCTTATTTAGGCAAGGAAATGGAAGGTAATTTTATTATAATAATATAATTTCATTTTATTTTTATTTGTAGACATTGACCGAAAAGGTAGAATTATATTATGAAGACATTTGGAAAACTTAAAAAAAGAAATAGTTCCAGTTTTTTATGAATACTAAATCCACTATCTTTTCCTTTAGTATTTTTTTCTTTTTCTTCTATTCGACTTTTTTTTTAACAAGCAAATAAGTCTGCAAAAAAATTACTTTCATAGACTCTCAGGAATGTATAGCATTAGGGGCCAAACATTGCGATTACCTCTCTGCCTAACTAATAAGGTAGATAGTATGATATACATAGAATTACACCACTTTTTATGCTTCTCCTTACAAGCTGGATCAGATCTTTTAATGCAGTCTTGGTTTAGTTTGGTGAACGGCAGATTCCAGATGACTGGAACAAAATTTTTGGAGCCTAACTCGTTCCAAGTTCAATAATCTGGTTTGTTTCTAAGAGAGAAACCTATCGATTCGCTTGGGCAACTCTGCTTGGAACATTTTAGTAAATGTTCGCAGGTTTATTAATATTTTTTCTACGGAATACCCCAACTAATTTAGCCGTCTTTGAGCAGTCAGTGTTATGCAACTTACTTTAGAGCTACTCTGAAGCCTAATGACTTATTTTGACCCATGTTTTATAGTATCTACTCTGTTACCTTTCTCCCTTGTACAAATCTATTCTGGTCTTATCAAAAGCTCATTCTACATCAAAGAAAGACAGAACTATCCCTTTGAAATTAAAGGCTTTTTCTTTGCACAAACCATGGAGCGTTCTGAAAATTTGAGTAGATTTGAATAGAATGGATTTATTAAAATATTGGTAAGTTTAAATATTAAATACCCCCAATTCCATACAAATATATAGTTATAAATATTTTTGAGCAAAATTCTGCTGGATATCTACAGTATTCTAAACTAAACCATCATTGATGAACATATTTCTTTTGGTAGTAGCCATAAAAATGCTAGGTTGCAACAATTAATATACCTACAATACAATGAAACTTTTTGACATTTAAAACTCCTGTGTACCAAGTGGTCAAGAGGAATTGCTTTCTAATATCGCCACTATTGGTCGTAATCCTTATGATCAACGATTAAGTACTGTGTAATTCTAAAAACGGTAAAGACACAATTCTGTGACTTAGTTCTAAAAAGGCCAATCTCAAAATTCTTCAATTTAAGTAAAAAGCGTTTAAACTTTTTATGAAAACTATTGAATCGAATAATGTTAAGGTGTATATACAGGTACTTCGGTTCTCATATTACATACCCTTTTTAAAAGTGACACAACTCAAAAAATATCAGTTTTTGTTTGATATCAGAAACCTAATAATAAAAACCTTATACTTTTCAATTGTAAAAGTGTCGTTTTTAAAGTTTCTCATATATTAAAAATGTCATATTTTGACTTGTGTCAATTTTGCTCTATAAAACTTTCTGTTATAACGTCATATTTTGAGTTGCAACACTTTGAAACAAGAGTACCACAGTGCAATAAAAATAAGACATCGCTAATCGTTTTTAAAGTTTCTCAAATTGTTTGTTTTGCACACATTAAAAGTGTCATATCTTAACTTGTGTCAGTTTTGCTTTATAAAAGTTTATATATTTTTCTATTGCGTCATATTTTAAGTTGTTCCACTTTGAAATAAGAATACCAGAGTGCAATAAAAATAAGACGTTGCAAAGTTTCTCGAATTGTCCAGTCTGCACAAATCGAGTGTCATATTTTGACTTGTGTCAATTTTGCATTATAAAATTTCATAAATTTTTTGTATTACGTCATATTTTGAGTTGTTATATTTTGAAATAAGAGTACCACAGTGCAATAAAAATAAGACGTCAATTTTAAAGTTTCTTAAATTGTCCATTCTGCACCCATTAAAAGTGTCATATTTTAACTTGTGTCTATTTTTCTCTATAAAATTTAGTACATTTTCTGTTAGAACGTCATATTTTGAGTTACACTTTCAAACAAGAATACTACAGTGCAATAAAAAAGGACGTCGCTAATATCGGTTTTAAATTTTCTAAAACTATTCTGCACACAATAAAAAGTATCATAATTTGACTTGTGTCAATTTTGCTGTATAAAATTTCGTATATTTTCTGTTACGTCATATTTTGAGTTGTTCCACTTTGAAACAAGACATCGTTAATCGTTTTTAAAGTTTCACAAATTGTTTGTTTTGCGAACATCAAAAGTATCATATCTTAAGATGTGTCAGTTTTGCTTTATAACATTTCATATTTTGAGTTGTTCCAATTTGAAATAAGAGTATCACAATGCAAAGTCGTTTTTAAAGTGTCTCAAATTGTCCATTCTGCACACAATAAAGTGTCATATTTTGACTTATGTCAATTTTGCTCTATAACATTTTCAGAATTTCCTGTTGTATCATATTTTGAGTTGTTATTGTTTGAAACAAGGGTACCAGGTAATAAAAATAAGTCGTTGTTGATGTTTTTAAATTGTCCGTTCTGCATACATCAGAAGTGTCAATTTTGCTCTAAAAAATTTCATACATTTTTCTATTACGTCATATTTTGAGTTGTTACACTTTAAAACAAGAGTACCACAATGCAATAAAAAGAGAGCTCGCTAATATCGTTTTGAAAATGTATCAAATTGTCCGTTCTGTACACATCATATTTTGACTTGTGTCAGCTTTGCTTTATAAAATTTCCAACATTTTTCTGTAACGTCATATTTTGAGTTGTTCCACTTTGAAATAAAATTACCATAGAGCATTAAAAATAAGACATCGTAAATGTCATTTTTTAATGTGTTTCGAATTGTCCATTCTGCACACATCAAAAGTATCATATTTTGACTTATGTCAAATTTTTTCTCTATAACACTTCTTACAATTTTCTGTTCCGTCATATTTTGAGTTGTTATTCTTTGAAACAAGGGTACCAAAGTGCAATATAAATAAGTCGTTTTTGAGGTTTTTAAATTGTCCGTTCTGCATACATCAGAAGTGTCAATTTTGCTCTATAAAATTTGATACATTTTTCTGTTAAGCCATATTTTGAGTTGTTACATTTTAAAACAAGAGTACCACAATGCAATGAAAATAAGAGCTCGCTGATATCTTTTTGAAAATGTATAAAATTGTTCGTTTTGTACACATCATATTTTGACTTGTGTCAGTTTTGCTTTATAAAATTTCCTACATTTTTCTGTAACGTCATATTTTGAGTTGTTACACTTTGAAATAAGAGTACCACAGTGCATTAAAAATAAATCTTTTTTAAATTTTCTCACATTGTCCGTTCTGTAAAGTATCATATTTCGACTTGTATCAATTTTGCTCTATAAAATTTAGTACATTTTTTGTTATAACGTCTTATTTTGAGTTGTAACATTTTGAATCAAATTACTACAGTGCAATAAAAACAAAAGATTGTTTTCATTAAAAAGTATTTATTATTCTTTTTCGGAATCATTTTTAGTTTTATAATTTTCCATAGAAATAATTTTTCGTTTGTAGATTTTTTTCCACTTATTATTAACCATTATGTTTATGATAAATAAAGATACAGTTATTATTGAAGACATAAATAAAACTTTATTGTATAATCACAATCATAAAAGCGACGCAACTCAAAAGAGGCCGACGTTTGCATACAAAAAAGTAAATAAATCACCTATACCAAGAAAAATATATTAACTTTAAATTGACTTATGTTCACTTTTATAGAGGAAGTGTAATACATTAATATATTCAATAGATTTAAAAAAAAATTAGACGCTCTTCACTTAAATTTTAGAATTCTGAGATTGGTCCCTTTTAATGTGTACTAGAAAATTATTTTCCTCTAGGGTTGGCCATGAAATGAATCACCCATATTAGAACTTGTATCGAAAAATGACAATTATTTTCCATTTTAAAAAATTCAGTGGCTTTTTTCAGTAATATCAGCTGTGGTGCCCACTGAGACGCTACTGGACCCAATAATTTTAATTTAGTTAAAGATAAATATGCGCCATATTACTTCAAATAATTATACCAAATTTCAGTCAAATCGGTTTAAGGATATTAATGATATTTATAATATACCCAATCACTCTCTGAAGTTTCGTACCGTAGTTGAAAAACACCCTGTATATCAGTTAATCATTATCCACGTTCGTTATATTCGTTTCCTAATGAGTATCAATAATTTTTTGCTTTCGAAACAATGAAAAGTATTTTTGAAAACAAATTTAGAGAAAAATTTACCATCTCGGATATCTGGAATCCTGACAAAGTTTTTTAAATTTTTTTATACATTTTGCGGCTTCAAAAACAATTTTTATTATTTTTTATGGTTAATTTTTATGTTAAAATTTGTATACTTCGTTTTTCGGAATATTAAACCAATATTATTTTAATCCAGAGTTAGTTTTCGAGACAGCCGACTGTACGGGTGAGTTTACCGCATGAATATGTCTATAAAAATGCACGAAGCACGCTATCTATCCTCCATATTTCTTCATTCTTCGCCTCATTCTCTCATTAGTTTTTCTCCTACACATCGACACACATACCATATATACCAGATTTATTCGCCATTTTATTTTGATATCATTTTAGAACATTCACGGATTCTTACATAACGCCACACTTTCGATTATGTACCTAGAGAAATTAGAGCTAATTATTATTAAATAATTTAAATTCGGTATAACTATGTTGTGTTTACAAGGGTTGTACGATATTTAGAAACATATTTCGTAATATAAGTGTCTGTTTGTTTTGGCCAAATAATATGGACAAAATTATTTAGGTTTTTTTTTTAATTAGTTACTATAAATAAATGTCTCTGAGATCTGTATTAGTTTCTAGTAAATATTACTTACTTTGCACTTGTTATACATTGCAAAATATGCAAAATAGTAAGTATTACTAATTTAGTTTATACAAGAAGTACCGTTTCATCTCTAAAATTATAGCATTGCCATTTTTTTATTGTGTCTGAAATGTGGATTTATCCCAAATCAACCCACTGGTAAACTACCCCTAAGAAACAACCCTTAAAACTTTGATTTTTTTAATACAACTTTACCGTATTTGTTGTTGTTATTAGTGATATTTTTATTATTTATTCAGCCTTACATATTTTCTTTAAAAAAAAAAAGATATTACCTCGAAAAGTAAAAGTAAATGAAAATCAAATTAGTTGGATAACATACCATTTTAAAAATTTAATAGTTTTCTGATGAATTCCAATAAACCACCACCAAAAAATAATTCTCAAATATCCGTCCATATTTTTGTGTCTTATTTTTAGAGATCTACTCGTTCTACAGGGTGTTCTGTGCTAGGCTAGGTAAAACACTGCAAAGTAAGTTATATTTGTTCAGTAAAAAATTTTCGTATAGATACAGGGTATTAAAAAAAAATATACACTTTTTTACGATTATGTCCAAACTACTGGCAACATTGTAATAAAATTTTGTTCGAATATGTTAAATTAACGCATAAACTTATTTTTGTGTGTGCCTCTCATAGAGGGCGCTAGTTACACGGTTCGTACCGACTAATTTTAAACATAATGTTTTTTAAGGTTAAATTTTCTAGTCCAAATTTGATGTCAACTCAAACAACATATAATTTTACACCGAAAAGGTAAAACTCTATACTATGTACCATTTTAGGGAAACATTTGGAAAACTGTATATAATCATTTTTCGTAAAAGTTTATGATAAGAAATTAACATAACTATTATTTATTTTTAATTAAAACCAAATTTTTAGATTCGCATTTAATAATGGCGGTCAATTTTAACAAAGGTACTATAAAGTTAGATCTTTTACCATAACGTATAGGGGATTACCCCATTTTAACTCCAGAGAATCTGTAATTTTGGTGACCCAATAGCAACTATACTGATATAACTGTATAGGAACAGATTCTATTACGGAACTAAGGATTTTGTAAGTTTTTTCGAATACAGTAACCTACTCTATTAAGATGTTATTTTAAACACCATACATATTCAATAGTAAGGCAAATGATACTAATTTAGTCCCAAATTCTAATGTATGGTGGCGTCTTCCATTAAAATATCCCAATTTCAAATACACTTTGCCAATATGTTATATTTATGATACTATAAAGAAGGTAAGAGATATTACGCTAATAATACTACGTCACGGTGACGTATTGTGGCATGGAGGCGTAGCTTTTACGAATTTTAGGTATCAATTGATCGAAAACAGCACTATATAGTTTTTGCCACTATAAAGTGACAATAAATGCTAGTTCCCAGTAACTATGCAAATGCTACTTTGGCTATTCTGGGACCTTTTTACCTCCTTATGTACCCAGTTACTTTATTTAGGCATATTAGTAGCACTGATGGGTGACAGTAACTGATTTACTGGTACTACTATGTAGTTATGGGTGTTTACAGTTCCAATAAATGGTAACGGTGTAGTAACAGTTACTTCAAAAGAACCATTAAGGTAGCCATATCCAATAAAGTAAAGTAGCAATAATATTACCAGGGTGTATCCCAGGAAATAGGGCTTCATAGCAAAGCCTAAACAGAATGGATCTGGTACTATGAGGTTTCCGCTCTCCTTGTGGTTTTTTCTAGATGCTGTTTCCAGTCAATTATAATTCCGAGATATTTTACCTCCCCCTTAAGCTGGATGCTTGCACCTCTTAGGTTTAGAGGCATTGGTTCCTCCAATTTCCTCCTGCGGGTGAATGCAATTATGTTAGATTTGTTTAGTCCTTCCGCCTCTGTCCATTTTGTTACTATATTTAGAATCTCTTGCATTCAATGTCTTACTATAGTGTTGCATTTTCCAAGTGGCATGATCACTAGATCATCAGCATATCCTAGGGTTCTATGTCCCTTATCTTTGAGAGCCGTAAGCAGCCCGTTCACTACAAGGTTCCACAGGAGTGGAGGCAGCTGCTCCACCCGTGCCGCTATTGTCTCTCCCATAAGGGTTATGTGTATAGTTCTTTCCCTTAACATAGAGTCGATCTAGAACACGCACGTGTCCTCGATTCCTCTATGTTTAAGGATCTGTGATCGATTCAACGGAGGTATTGTCAAATGCGCCCTCGATATCCAATAATGATCCCAGCATTACTTCCTTGTTGTCCAGGGTACTCTCCATCCCTTTTCTTAATTGATGGAGAGCTGTTTCAGTTGATTTCCTTGCACTATAGGTGTATTGGTCTTGGTATATTGACCTCTGAACCAATATCCCGTCTCCAATATGCCTATCTAGCAGTTTTTCCAAAGTCCTAAATACAAAGGACATAAGGGGCCTATTTTCCCAGGTTTTGGTATAAAACTTACCCTAATATTTCTCCAAGCTTTTGGTATGTGTCCAAAGGCCAGGCTACTTTTGAGTATGTTACAGAATCTGCTGTATAAAATATCAGGACCTCTTTGTAACATTATTGGATAAATCCTGTCCATGCCCGGTGATTTATATGGTTCGAATGAGCTAATTGCCCATTTCTGTTTGCCATAGTTCACCACTTGTTTGACTATCCTCTAATATTCCCTGTTGGCTCTATTATGAGCTTCCAGTCCGTTTATATTTCGGTTAGCCGATGTGTGTGCTATGGTTTGTGCACCAGGGAAGTGAACCCTGAAGAGTTCCATTACTGTTTCCTTCCCTGTGATTGTGTACTCCCCCTGTTCATCAACTTTAGTTAAACCAAATGCTAAAAGTTAGATGGTACTAGCTCAGTCTACAGCCCTTTGGTAATTTTAGGTCACTAAAGGTAGTAGAAATGTATTTTTTGTTAAAGTAATCCATAACACTTCTATGTAAAAAATATATCTAATATTAACATGGTTTGTTGCAGTAGGGATAAATAGGTGGGCATGCTTTTGACAGATGAAGTTTATATTGGTAAACTATATTGAATTACTGTATAGTAAACTAGCAAACAAAGATATTCTTATGTAAAACATTTCTTGTAAGCATTTGCGTTAAACAATTTGAGAAAAATGGAATGCTTTTGAAAAGTACATTATGTAAATACTGCAAAGTGCAAATATGTCATTAAAAATTGATATATTTATTAAATTTAATAGAAGATTGCAACCAGGAAGCGTTAGAAACGAATGGTTTGTTTGTAAAAATCCAAAAAAGTCTGCTGAAGATGTTAAGTAAATATGGCCTTTTGCCTAAAAGAGATTTGAACAAAATTGTTTCAAAACATTTTGCAGTGTTCTACCTTTCCTTTTTTTGAAACATCTTATATGTTTAACGAAATAGTCTATCTACACTTTCAGAAAGTTCCTTATACACCACATTTTTTTCAAATTACTTTGGTTTTAATTTCTTTTAGAGGAAATATCTCATTTTTTAAATTTCTAATAACATTTGTGATGTATGATTTAATACAGGATGAAAAATATACCAAACACAATCTAATATGAGTGTTATTTAAAAAATCAAAGTTAGGAACAGTTTTTTGAGATGATTTGTGAGAGGATTGATTTAGTTTTGGTTAGATACGATACGTTTTAGTCTAATATATACAATTTTTTATTTTACATCTTATCAAACTACTCAAAAAATTGTGAGACAATCGGTATCTTCAAAAATAATACTTTAAATTGAGTGTTGATCTTTTCATCTCTGAGTAAGATGTTTCAAAATATTTCACAACCCTCGTATACCGCATCTCGTGCACATAATCAGCGTTAAGAAATTTGTTACATACTAACATATTAACTAACTAACTAAACACAATCTGTTTCACCAATTCACGCATGATCTCTTTTTCCCTGTTTCTTAATTGCGGGTTTCCAATCAAAAGCCCCTGCAGCTTTGCAAACAAGAAAACTCCGAAGACAAATAAATTCAGTGCGGTTTGCGAGACTTTCAAAACGACTAAATGAAAATAATTATATGTTTGCAGTTAAAATAATAATCTGTAATGAAATTAACATTTTAATCAGTTTTTAAAGATAAGTACTATAAAAATTACCATAATTATAATGAATTTAAGCATAAACTTCTTTGCCATTACTTTTTTAAATTGTAACTGTCTATTACCTGTACCTTAATTTTAAGGTACAGCCTTACTTAAATTGATATATATCAACTTTTAATTTTCAATTCTTGATTATTCCATAAATTTTATGGTTCTTACACCTTAATTACTATTTACTTTGTATTTTGTTCAGGGTTTAGTTATTTCTTCAATAAAAACAGTTTCATTTGTAAATCTTTCGGCCTTTATTTGCCATAATGTTCAAATTTTACTTTAAAATATTAAAAATTAACGTAACGGAACATTTTTCATATTTTTTAAAATATAAGTTATCCACACTGTATTAACAACTAAATGTTATAGCGTCAAATTTTTATTCCAGTAAATCAAGAAATTTTAAAATTTCTCGATATCTGTTTGACATAAAGCTATGTAGGAAATGCAGT